ACAACAACACCAACACCAACACCAACAACACCAACAACACCAACAACACCAACAACAACAGCAGCAACCGCAGCAACAACAACAACAACAGCAACACCACCAACAACACCACCACCACCACCACCACCAACAACAACAACAACAGCAGCAGCAGCAGCAACAACAACAACAACAACAACAACAACAACAACAACAACGCTCCCGCTCGAAGCTTCCTCCTTTTTGACTCAGGGTTGGTGTTCTTGCTCGCCGCCGAAAGCCGCCGTCCTAACAAAACCAACGCTCCCGCTCGAGACTTCCTCCCGTTTACCTTGGACTGGCGCGCTACTCGTTCTCTCATCGGCGCCGCCCCCAGCAAAAACAACGCTCCCGCTCGAAGCTTCCTCCCATTTTAACTCAAGGCGGTGCTCCTCCTCGCCGCCGGAAACCGCCGCCCCGACAAAACCAGCGTTCCCGCCGAGACGTCCTTCCGTTTTACGCTGGACTGGCACCCAACTCTCTTTTGAATTGGCGCCGCTCCCAGCAAGATCAACGCTCCCGCTCTAGATTTCCTTTCTTTTTCCTGAAGACCGTGCTGTTCCTCGCCGCCAACAACCCCTGTCAAGACAAAACCACGGCTCCCGGTCGATGCCGCCTCCTTTCTTACTCAAGTCGGCGTGACTCCTCGCCGCCGGAAACCGCCGCCCCGACAACACCAGCGCTCCCGCCCGAGACTTGCTTCCGTTTTACGCTGGACTGGCGCCCAACTCTCTTTTGAATTGGCGCCGCTCCCATCAAGATCAACGCTCCCGCTCTAGATTTCCCTTCTTTTTCATCAGGACGGTGCCGAATCGCGCCGCCGACAGCCCCCGTCCCGACAAAACCACGGCTCCCGCTCGATGCTTCCTCCTTTCTTCCTCAAGGCGGTGTTCCTCCTCGCCGCCGAAAGCCGCCGTCCCAACAAAACCAGCGTTACCGCTCGAGACTTCGTTTTGTTTTACGCTGGACTAGCGCCCTACTCTCTTCAGCATTGGCGCCGCTCCCAGCAACAACAGCAGCCCTGCTCGAGACTTCCTTCCTTTCTACTCAGGCCAGGTCCTTGCCTCACCGCCGACAGCCCCCATCCCCACCAAGGCAATCCCGTCGTTCGATACTTCCCTGTGCTTTACCCTTCGCTGGGGTTTCTCTGGCGGTCTCGCATCGACGCAGCCAGGCGCGGGCATGTGTTTTCGAGGCGGGGTATGTTGGATTTCCTCGGAGGAGGTGTTTGCAAGATCTCATTGGGCGGGAGATCTGGGAATGGGAATAACGGACCCCGCTATAGAACAATAATCCCCCATGATGTGGAAGGTTATCGTGATGGTCGCATGCTTCGTGTGGTAACATCGCACATGAGGGTAAACTGATTGTTTGTGTTGTCGTCGTTGTCGTTGTCGTTGTCGTTGTCGTTGTTGTTGTTGTTGTTGTGCTGTTTGTTGCCGTCGCCCCACCCGCGACCCACCCGCGACCCACCCCGCGACCCACCCCGCGACCCACCCCGCGACCCACCCGCGACCCCACCCGCGACCACCCCGCGACTTACCCCGCGACCCACCCGCGACCCACCCCGCGACCCACCCGCGACCCACCCCGTGACGCATCTGCGACCCACTCGCGACCCACCCGCAACCAACTTGTGACCCACCCGCGACCCACCACGCGACCCACCCGCGACCTACCCCACGACCCACCCGCGACCCACCTTCGACCCAACAACGACCCACCCGCGACCTATTTGCGAACCACCCGCGACCTACCCACATGTTTAACGAAAAAATGGCGCCTGCAGCGGGCTCGTTGTATACGTTGTGAAACTTTGGCGCCTGCGGCGGGCTTCTCCAGAGTCTCGCAGACTGCCGACGTCCCCACCGCCCCCTCACTCGTACCCCGCTTATGTGGGGCGCTACGTAAATTCGATCAATGACATATGATAGGGAGCTTGGCGGAAACGCTAATTGCAACATCGTTGATGCGTCTTGGGAATTCACTGGTCCTCCTCCTCCTCCTCCTCCTCCTCCTCCTCCTCCTCTCGTGCCTCCTCCTGCTTCTCATGCTCGCCGCCCTCCTGACCCTCGTTCCCATCCTGCTCCTACTCCTCCATATAAGTCATCCTTCCCCCATCTCAACATCTACATCCGCGCCCTCGCTCAAGAGAAGGAAGCAATGTGTAAGAGGAACCCCTCCCTCCCCTGCCCCTCTCCTACGGCAAATTCGTGTCGTGACGATTTGAGCGTTGGTTTTCCGACACCGAATGGATCTTTCAACCTTGACCAATCACGGATTTCAAATAGCGCCGACCGCTTAACGTCACCCAATCCCTGAACGTTGTCGTTCTTCACCCTTGAATGCCCGCGCTGGAGTCGCCGCCGCTCCGACACGACACGAGCCTAGTGAGCATTGCTCTGAACTATCTCCATCCCCACTGGCGTGGCCTTGGCCCCACTGGCCGATTGTCCCCTCAGATGGGGATATATGGTCCAGGGTTGCCCCCCCATTTCCCCCCCACAATGCATCGGAGATCGAGCCCCCCCCTCGCTGGAGCATCCAGCCTGGATGGGTACGCCCGTGAGCCTCGCGAAGGCCTCGCGAATGGGATTGGTACCCCCTCTTTGGTCGTGGCCCTGTGGGCGTGGCGTTGTGGAGGGTGCGAGTGCACCCCCCGCTCCCCCTGTGGGTGTGGGGTGGTTCGTCGTGGTCGTGGTCGTGGTCGTGGTCGTGGTCGTGGTCGTGGTCGTCGTCGTGGTCGTGGTCGTGGTCGTGGTCGTGGTCGTGGTCGTGGTCGTTGTCGCCCGTCGCCCGTCGTCCATCCTCCGTCGTACGTCGTCGGCGTCCCCTCCATCCCATCTGGGGAGGGAGGGCCTGAGGAACCCTGGGACCCATCCCACCTGGGCGGGGGTGCCTGTGAACCCTCGACCTGGGATTATGCGGTCCCTTTGGGTTTCGCGGGGACTATCTCTGTCTTGGGGGGTGGTCACCTGGCGGGACTGAAATACCACGGCCGAGTGGGGGTGGGGATCGGGTGAACGATGCTGCCCTATCGCGCCCCCCCCCCTCCATCAACCTCCCCCCCTGCTTGGCCGGCAGCGGCGGGGCCGCAAGCGCGGGGCTCCTGCAGCCAGCGCCTTCTCGGCCGCTCTTCCCCGCCGCTGGGAGGCCTTCGGCGTGGCCCCCGCCTCCGCGCGGCGGGCTGGCGGGGCACTCCCGCCAGCCAGGGCAGGCCGCGCTGACCCGGGCGGGGGGTTGGTCAGGGCAGCGGGTCCTGGAGGGAAAGGGTCCTGAGGGCTTCTCGCCGCCGTTGCCCTCACCGATTCCCTTGGGGGCCCAACCGATGGGTGACAGGCTCTTATGTGCCTGTGGACAAGAAAGCCGTCGCAGCCTTTGCTGCGGAGTCCTTGGCCTGCACCCTCTGCAGAACCGCAGCCATCCTCGCATTCTGGAGGAGCATCTCCAGAGTGGGAGCCGCCGCGGTCGTCGAGGGCAACAGGGGCCGTGGATAAACGGCTCGGGTGGGTGACCACATCCGAGCCCCACCGCCATCAACCATGTATTCTCCTGAATCGATGGTAGGCGGGAGTTGGGCTCGGATTTAGCCACGTGTTCGACGGATTCCAGACCCTATCCTCGCAGCCCATCGAGTTGCCTGAATCGTTGATCGGTAAAGGTAGGGTTCGGATTTCGCCGCCAAACAAGGTGGGGAGCGATAGGGAGGAATGGGAAGGGTGGAGTCGGCTGGGCGGGGGGGGGACGGAGGTGTAGTACGGGGGCGGGAAGAGGACGCTCAGATCCTGGCGTGGCGGATGGGTCATCAACATGAGGGGCGTTTTGGCCCCGGCCTCGGGACCATCGCGGAGAGGTCCGGAAGAAAAAGTGCCGCGGAGAGATGGGGCCGGACGCCAAGGTCGTCATGCTTCCGCGAGATTATGAATGTTTGACGACACGGAATCTCGGAGGACACCCAAAGCCTCCCTTCTCCTCTCTATCCTTCTGAACCCTATTCCTGCTCCACCTCACTCACTGCTGAACCCGCCACCAGGCTGAGAGGACGAGGGTTCCAGTTCCCAGCACTAGTTCTAGCACCAGTATAATAACATAGTTTCTCTTGTCTAGTTCCACGGTTATAATGATTGAAGTCTGCGCGATGGGGGGAGAACGAAATGCGGCCTCCACCCCTCCCCAAATCACACATTATTCCTGGGCGGTGCCCAGGACTCGTAAAAATAGATTCCCGCTCCCAAGACCACAATCCTTAGTAGATTACGACAAGCTCGCTCTCCCGAGGCCAGAATCCCTAGTAAATTGCACCAGACTCCCGCTTCACAAACCACAATGCAAATTACATCAGATTCGCGCTCCCCGAGCCACAATCCTTCGCAAATTGTTTCTTGCAGTGGAAAACGTGTTCGGGGGCGCTTTTCGCACTCCCCGTCATTTCCTGAGAATTCGGCTCGGGGCTCGAGGCCAGGAATCCATGTAAATAGCTAGGAGTGCGCGCTCCTGAAGCCTTGAACCCTTGTAATTTACAATTGAAGCGCGCTCCCGAGGCTACCGCCTCAGATCTATGATTAAAAAAACGCGAGCATCAATTGTCAATTCGCAGATCAGACAAAAAGCAAATCAGCCGAGCTCCGACAAGCCAGCCGAGCTCCAGCCAGCCAGCCGACAAGAAAACTACTCAACCTGCCACTCAAGCGTGGCTATGCACATAATCTGAGGGGGCGCAAGCGGCAGAGCGCGAAGCCCTTCAGAGAACTCCTCCGAAGTCCTCACTCCCTCTCTACATCCTCATCCTTCTCCTCCTCCCCCCTCCCACCTCCACCGTCCAACCTCCCCCTCATCCTCCCTCCACCATCCATCCTCCCCGACTCCCTCTCCTCTGTCTCATCTGCTTCCTCCTCCTCCTCCTCCTCCTCCTCCCCTTCCTTCCTCCTCGGGGAGAGAGGGATGGGGGATGGGGACGGGGAGAGTGAGGGGGGCAGAGGGAGGAGGAAACACCTGAGCTCGGCGCACTCATAAGTGTCTGCTCCCCGTCCGCCACCAACCCCTCCGCGACCCGCGGGCGTCGGCCCCGCCGGCAGGCAGCGTGCGGCGCTCACGAGAGCAGGACGACGCAGAGGAGGACGGCCACGAAGCCGCTGAACCTCCAATTCGCGAACATCCGCGGCCACTCCGTCTGCGGCACGTGGCCGCTGGTGACCAGCCGCAGCTCGCGGCCGAGGAGTCGGTCAATGACCACTGCGACCCAGTAGGCCACGTGCAGCATGGCCTCGACCTCCGACGCCGAGCTTTCTGTTTCACCGCTCGGTGAGATCGAAACGGGTACGGAAAGAATGTGCACGCATACCGACAGCTGTCCCTGCATTCCGAACCGGGCTCGCTGTCGGGGTCGCCTCGGACGCTGTGCATCTGAGACACAAGGCCGCCTGCGCAATAGCGGCTGTTGTCGGTTTTGGACAACATGTGTTGTTGGGCATCTTGCCACACGCTGGAGCGGACCACCTCTGCCTCGCCGCCGACAGAAACAGTTGTTGGGCATCGTATATTTTGTTGTACAGTCAACAGTGGTAGTAAAGATGCACGATAAGGATGCAAGGGCCTTTGAGGGGAATGACGACACTTTTCGAGCGGGGCGCGGCAAACGAAAATGGCCAAGGATGGGCCGAAAGAAAAAGATGCACGGGAAACCTTGGAAAATCGCTCATCTTCACTAACAAAACCACGGGGGCCCAGGGCGGTCGACCCCGCCCCTGGGAACCGGCTCTGTTCGCGCGATTCGTCCCTTGCTGGCCCTGGGGCCCAAGAACGGCCCCCGGAGAGCGCCAGATCGCGAGAACAAGAGTTACCTGGGGAGATTCATTACCCAACCCACCCAAGACGCATGGAAAGACAATGGGGTCGATCTGCGTGTGGGCCCGCACTCCGCACTCCGAAAAAGGCGATAGCTGTGCAGTTGGCAATTATGGAGGACCGCTCTCCAGTGCACTTCCCAGGATCCCACGAAAGTGGCGACAGCTGTCCAGATGGCATCCCCCAGAGGGAGGCTAGGTCAACTGTGGCCCCTTTAGGACCGCACCCCGCTGGATATCCGAGGAGCCCACGAAAGTAGGCGCAGTCGGCAGACCACAGGGAGGCGAGGTCTAGATGCGGGCCCCTTCGGACCGCACTCCGCTGCACCTTCCAGTAGCCCACGAAAGTGGCGAGAGTGGCGGTTGCGCAGTTGACCACCCCCAAGGAAGAGAGGTCTGGATGTGGTCACTTTAGGACCGCACGCCGCTGCATCTCCTAGGAGCCCACGAAAGTGGCTACAGCTGCGCAGTTGGCAGCCACAAGGGAGGCGAGATCGAGTTGCGGTCCTGTAAGACCGCATTCCGCTGGATATCCAAAAAGTCAACAGAAAGTGTCGACAGCTTCGCAAGAGGGAGGCGAGGTTTAGTTATGGCCCCTTTAGGACAGCACGCCGCTGGACTTCCCATGAGCCGTTGAAAGTGGCAACAGTTGCAAAGTTAGCAGCCCCTTGGGAGGCGAGGCGAGGATGCATGGTAGAAAGGCGGTGAAGAGACGCGAGGGAGGGATGAAGCCGGAGTAAAATAAGGAACGCCCACATACATTTAAACTCATGCAGGTCCGCGCGGGTTTCTTGGGTGGGTTCGGGACCCCCCTCCCTGGCAGGAAGGCCAAACGCCGAAGTTTTCCGCGCTCACCTCCGATAAAACCATGGTCATGCTGTTGTGCCTCTTCCAGGGCTAAGAGATGCGAGGAGGAAAGAAGGACGCAGGACGTATACGGTACGATACGAAAGCATCAACGAAACATTACCACATCTTCGAATCCGCATTGCCTCGCCGTCGCCAGCTCTACAAGCTGTAAACGCTTGATCAAACTACCCCGCCTGCCTAAAGTCCCAGCGGGGGAAGCGGGAAGGAGAAGGAGGAGGAGAAGGAGAAAGCTACAGCGCTCTAGTCAAAACGAGAACCGAGCGCAGGAGGATTGGGGGGAAACGCGCGCCGATGATTCCTCTCCTGGCGACCTCGCCGCCCCGTGGCGGGCGCTGCCACTCCGAGCCGACGAACTGCGCCTGCGACAAGGGCGTCGCTACGACCAGCGCCGGGGCCGCTGCACCTCCGCCATGGGGGGCAGGAAGAGGACGGGGGGGGCCGCGCACTATGGCCCGAGGCACGTGCGCGGACGAGGGAGAGCAAGACCGTGCTGACATAAGAAAAAAGAAGGCAATCTGGGAGATCCCGTGGCTGTGGCAATGGTATCCACGCACAGGCACACACACACACATACAAACACGCACACACATACAAGCACACACAAACACACACACACACACTTCTCCTCCAGCCGCGAGGTTTCGGCACCGTCGCGAGGACTAAACTAGGGCATGCGGCATGCGAAACTAGTCGGTCTCGCCTGGCTAAGCGGGTAGGTGGACTGAATGACGCAGTCGCGTGCAGAAGAAGGTGCAGAACCGAGGCGTGCACGTGACGCAAGCTGGCAACCATGCAGCATGCAGTGGGAAGAGCAAGTGGGAGTCACCTGGCAGTGGCAGGCGTGCAAAACACACGCGCGCAAACACTTAGTCCACATCCCTCCCTTGGCCGTCCCCGATCACCGCCGAGGGGCGGCGAGGCCGCCGCGGCTGGGGCGTCCAGCTCGCCCAGCACCTCTCGCGCGAACTGCCGGTGAGCCGCGGCTGGCTCCTCCCGGCGGGCTCACCGCGCCCCCCCCCCCCCCCGCAGCAGCAGCAGCAGCAGCAGCAGCAGCAGCAGCAGCAGCAGCAGCAGCAGCAGCAGCAATCACCTCCTTCTCTTCCTCCTCCTCCTCCTCCTCCTCCTCCTCCTCCTCTTGTTCCTCCTCCTCTTTTTCCTCCTCCTCCTGTCCTCCTCCTGTCCTCCTCCTGTCCTCCTCCTGTCCTCCTCCTCCTCCTCCTCCTCCTCCTATCCTCCTCCTCCTCCCTCATCCGAAATGCGGCCGCGGGCGGGCGTCCGCCGCACCACAGCCCCCACGCCAGTCGCCCGCCCACGCGGGCGGTAGCGATCCCCCGGGTGCAAGTCGCGCTCCCCTGCCTGGCACCGCCGGGCCATGCGGCTGCGGGCTCAGGCGCGTTTTGCCCTGCGTTGTGCCGCAGCGTACACGCGTCTCGCTAATCATCACGGACATCAGCTGGGCGTCGTCGACGCCATGGGCACCCCGCCGTGAAGACCCGCTGCGGACGCCCCGCAGTGGGCATGCGTGGTCACTCGAGCACGCAGCTTCCGCACCAACTTCAGAACGAGGGCCACGTGCTGGTAGTGCAGTCGCGACAAAACAAGCCGTTTCCCTCGGGCTGCCGACGGCGCGGAGCAGCCCAAGGTCCCCCCACGCTCGGCCTCTGCGGGGCGCCGCCGTCGGTCGCAGCTTCCTGGGGGCCCTCCTCCTGCTGCTGCTCTTGACTCAAGAGACTCTTGACCCACGTGCCGAGCCTGCTCCCAGCCCCGCGGTGGTGTGCGCTCGACATGGCTTACAGGCCGTGCGTGGAGTTCAAATGCAGCGACGACCACCCGCTCATCGCGGCCGCCAAGGGCGACCTCGCGCGGCTGGAGGCCGAAGAACGCAGGGCCCAGCCACCCGAGGTGCTCCTCCGCAGCTTGCAGAAGAGCCTCGCCGACGCCGAGGACGGCCTCGGCCAGAGCGAGGAGGCCCTCACCGAGGCGCAGGCCCTCGTCGCGCACCTCAGCCAGCAGAGGGACCAGCTCGCCGCTGAAGTCGCTGCTCTGGAGGTCGAGCTGGCCGCTGCTCAACGCACCGTGGAAGCCTCGACGGCAGGCGCTGGCGGCGCGCGGCGTGGACCTGGCCAACCTCGCCACCGCGCTGGTCGGCCGCAGTCCCTCGTGGCGGCCGGCCCCGCTCGAGTCGCCAGCGGGCGCGGCGTCGAGCTCATGGGGGCCATCAACCGCTGGGCGCCGGCGATGGGCGCGGCGGCCCCAGCAACCCAAACCTCGCAGGTTGCGGCTTCTGCCCCGCCCGCTGGGTCCGCCGCGCTGCGCCCGGCCGGTGCTGATTGAGCGCCGCTGGCGCCCCCGCGGGGGCCGCCCTGGGAGGCGCCCCTGCTGCTGCCGCCGTTAGCCCAGGTGGGGGCTCCGCAGCCCCAGGCGCCGCTTTTCGCCCCATATGGCGAGGTCGCAGGCGCCCGGGGCGTCACGGGCATGGAGACCGATCGCGGAGGTCATCGAGGATTTCGTCGGGCCGCGCGCCAGGACGCTGGCCCGAATGAATGCTTAGAACGATGCGATTCAAGTGCGCAAGCTGTTGCTGCACAGGAGCTTCGCACTGGTGCGACGGGCGCGGGGGGGGGGGGCAGCTCGAGCTGCATGGCATACTGTCCTGCCTCATTGTCTACGTCTCGAACCTTGGCGGGTCTCCGCTGGGGTTGGACTCTTCACGCGGAAACGCATCAATGTTACCTCGCTGCCTGGGCGTTACTCGACCCCGACGACTTCCGACCTGACTCCGAAGTTCTGCGTTTCATGCCGCGCTGACTTCGGGATCAAAAGAAACGATATTTTGCTGTCCGCCCACTCCGAGGTGGGAAAGTGGTCGGCGGGCGCGAACGCTGGGGGGCCGTCGAGATCGCCGCTGCGCTGCGCGGCTGGAACGGGCCGTTCGCCGCGGCTGCCAATTTCGACTGCGCGGCCCGAGCCCGCTCGTCTCCGACGGCCTCCTGGACTACATCCCCGCGCAATTGGAGGCGCGAGCTCGGGCTGCCAGCGCAATCGCTCGCGCGCGGGAACTCGCAGGGGAATTGCTCGCGCCTGCAAGTTCACGGCGCTGGCCGGGGCCAAAGCTCCCCCGGGATGCGCCCCCTCCGAGGGCGCCGCCTCAGCAATCGAGCGCGACCGCGCGGAGGCAATCGAGCAGCGCGTTGCCTTGGGCGGCGCGGCGACTATCGCGCAAGCGCAAGGGCGACCTCTGCGCCGCCTTCGCCGCGGCCATGGAGGAGGCGGAGGTCGCCCGCAGGCGCGGCCCGGGGCCGGATGCGGCCGCGCACTACGGGAGGGCTGATGAGGTGCACTGCCGGTGGAGACAAGCTGAAGGCACACCTGCTGGGCCTCGCTCTGCCGCGCCACCAGATGCTCGCCGCGCGCGCCACCTCGCGCAGGCCGCTGGCAAACTTCTTCGCGAAAGCCCTGTTTAGGCCCCCGTTCTTCCGCGACAGGAGCGACTTATGTCCGCGGGTGCCGAGCGTGCAGACCGCAGTCTGAACTGCCGTCGGATCGTTCAACTTCCACGACGGATCACGTCCATCGCCCGCGCCACCTTGGACGCCAACGCTGGCGCCTACCCCAGCTGGTGGGCCGCCAGCTGCAGGAGAGCAGGCCCGCCCGCGCTCCGTCGCCCACCACGGCAGGGAATGCTAACGATGCAAGCACAAGGCCGCAGGAAACCCTTAGCCGACACCGGCTGGCGGCGTTGTGCAAGGGCGCCAGGGAGCGCCGGGGGCCGCCCCCCCGCGGCCGCGCGGACTGCCCCCCCCCCCCCCCCCCTCCCCAGCGCGGGGCGAAAGGGCCCAAGGAGAATCCCCGTCTTTGGGGAGACGTTGTCGCGGAGAGCCTGAGGCCTCTGCTGATCCTGCGTGGATAGACCCTCTCCCCTGGTTTGGCCTCCATTCGCGGCAGTTCCAGGTTGGCTTCGTGGTTCAAGGCAGCGGGCGCCCGATGAATGCGCGGCCGCGCGCCGTTCGCGCAGCCTTTCTCGCGTGCGTTATTGATTGCAGTTGTTCTACGGGTCCAACTGTTTGCGTTGCTGGCGAGGAGTTTGGTTGTCGATGTCATTTTGGTTGGTGTCTCGGTGTGCGGTCGTAGTTTGGGTGGTTGGTTGTGCGGGGTATCCGTTGTCGGTGTATCCGTGCAAGCTATGGCGCATTGCTTGGCCCGCTTTCAATTATTGATCGTTGGTTGTTTGGGCTATTGGTTGTTTGGGTTTGTCGTCGTTGGTGTGCCAGCGCTCGTCTAAGCTATTGTTTGAGGTATTGGTTGTTGTGGCTATTGGTTGTTAAGTGTTTTGGCTGTCTGGGGCATTCGTCGTTGGGTGGTTGGCCATTGGTTTAGTTCGTGTGTCGATCGGATTGCTGGCTGCTAGAATTGTTGCTTGTTTGTGGATGTTGGGAAATGCAATGCAATGCAAGGCAGCACGCAGCTTCCAAATGCAATGCTCGGCAGCGCAAGGCTCCCCGACTTCATTGCAGGATCAATGAATTCTGCAATGCCAGACTGCGCAAAACGCCACGATGCAATGCCAAAACAAATTTAGCCTGGACCATATGCAGTTGTGAATACCGCAAATATGAATATCGTTTTCGGTGGCGCTGCCTCTGGGTAAGGGGAGACGCATGCGAACACCCCCGCTGGGGCCTTCGGTGGAGTTCCCTATGGGGCTACGAAACGCTGCCCTGGGTGGGGGAACGGCATGTGGACACCCCCACTGGGGCCTTCGGTGGAGCTCCCTATGGGGCCACGAAGCGCTGCCCTGGGTGGGGAAACCGCATGTGGACACCCCCACTGGGGCCTTCGGTGGGGCCCCCTATGGGGCCACGAAGCGCTGCCCTGGGTGGGGGAACCGCATGTGGACACCCCCACTGGGGCCTTCGGTGGAGCTCCCTATGGGGCTACGAAGCGCTGCCCTGGGTGGGGGAACCGCATGTGGACACCCCCACTGGGGCCTTCGGTGGAGCTCCCTATGGGGCCACGAAAGCTGCCCTGGGTGGGGGAACCGCATGTGGACACCCCACTGGGGCCTTCGGTGGAGCTCCCTATGCTGCCCTGGGGGGGAACCGCATGTGGACTGGGGCCTTCGGTGGAGCTCCCTATGGGCCACGAAACGCTGCCCTGGGTGGGGGAACCGCATGTGGACACCCCCGCTGGGGCCTTCGTTGGAACTCCCTATGTGGCTACGAAGCGCTGCCCTGGGAACCGCATGTGGACACCCCCACTGGGGCCTTCGGTGGAGCTCCCTATGGGGCTACGAAGCGCTGCCCTGGGTGGGGAGACCACATGTGGACACCCCCACTGGGGCCTTCGGTGGAGCTCCCTATGGGGCCACGAAACGCTGCCCTGGGTGGGGGAACCGCACGTGGACACCACCACTGGGGCCATTCGGTGGAGCTCCCTGTGGGGCTACGAAGCGCTGCCCTGGGTATTGGAACCGCATGTGGACACCCCCACTGGGGCCTTCGGTGGGGCCCCCTATGGGGCCACGAAGCGCTGCCCTGGGTGGGGGAACTGCATGTGGGCACCTCCACTGGGGCCATTCGGTGGAGCTCCCTACGAAGCGCTGTCCTGGGTGGGGAAACCGCATGTGGACACCCCCGCTGGGGCCTTCGGTGGAGCTCCCCATGGGGCCACGAAGCTCTGCCCTGGGTGGGGGAACCGCATGTGGACACCCCCACTGGGGCCTTCGGTGGAGCCCCCCATGGGGCTACGAAGCGCTGCCCTGGGCGGGGGAACCGCGCGCGGGCAGGAGGAGGGGGCGGGCGGGGAGGGGGGGGAGGAGGAAGGAAGGAAGGAGAGGAACGCGGGGCACCGTCTCTTCAAAACGAGGACCCAACACCACAGGAAGGTTGAGAATGAACCAGGGTCCGGAGAAACACGATAACGACCCAGGGTCGACGATGAACATGGATTGCGAGACCGCGTGCCTGTATAAGCAGCTGCTCCTGAGGCCA